GGATCATTTTATTCCCTGCTTTATACACTTTAGTGACTTTTTATGGCAGTTAAGATAAAGTCCAAGCTCCCTCACATGGTCTGCATAGTTTGACCTGCTCCAGTCTTTGCAGGGTTCTTTAAGCCCATCTTTGGTCATTGTTTCTTACACTCCCCCTCTGTATTTCTTCAAACACTCTGCTTTTTCTTGCCTAGGATCTTTTACATATGCTCTTTCTATTGTGTCCATTGCTCTTTTCATAGCTATGCATTTTTCATATTCCAAGTCTTAGTTTAGATATTAACCTTTCAATAAAGAAACCTTCCCTATTCAGCCTTTTTAACATAGGTCTGTGCCACTTCCTCAAGATTTCCTACCTTAACACTCCTATTTTCTTCCTCACAACACTTATGATAGTTCCCATTCTTTTTTTTTTTTTGATGTCTTTTCATCTGGAATGTATATCAAGGACCATATCTGACTGACTGACTTCTGTACTCCTAGAAATCTAACAACTATTTCTGGCATTGATCAAATATGTAGTAATTATTGTATGAATGAATGAAACCTTTTTCTTTCATTATTTTTATTTAAGAGCTTAACAGTATTATTCCTTAACCTTTTTTGACCCCTGTCTGATAATTTATTTAAGTTGATGTCCTATAACTTTTCATACTGTTACCAGGTTTTCTAGGGATATGTATCAAATATTTAGGAGAAGTTAGCAGTTTTTTGGTACATTTTAAATTGGTGTACATAATCTTTTAGGGTATTTTTGCTACATCTGAAATTTGGGTGGATAATTATAAAACACAACAGTACCTGGCTTGTAGCAGGTGTTACGGAGGTTTTGGTTAAATAAAATATGGATCAAGAGTGGAAGTTTTATAAAGTATAAATATCCTACCTGTAAAATATATAAAACTATAGGAAAAAATTGTCCCTTTAGAAAAAACCAATTCTCTTCCTGTTATCTTTTAGAAAATATTATGGATTGGAAATTAGTTTACCCAGAATATGTGCTTTTACACCTCTAATAGTCAGATAATGCTTTTAATCAGAGTTTTTAACAAGTTATGTTTGTAATAGCTTTTGGGGCAGCAGTTTGAGGTTATAGACAGATTTCAGATCCTTTAATTATTTTCTATTATATATTAGAGGAGAGAGCATTTATGACAAACATGTGGCTCTTTTGGTTTCATAATTACTTATAATACTGCTTCATAAAATTGTAATGGTGTCCAAATTGCTTGGCAATATTAGCATTTCTTAGATGGATTTATTTTTAACTTATAATAATTGTATTTATATAACACTGATATTCTCTATCAGTAGATTTTGAAAATTTGATCATGAGCAACTTTTGTATAAACCTTTGGTATTCATTGTTTCAAATAATTTTGAACATTTTTTTGTAGTATTTATTTTTCAGAGCAGCTTTAGATTTACAACATGCCCCCTGCCTCCACACATGCATAGCCTCTCCAGTTACCAACGTCCCCCACCAAAGTAATACATTGTTATAATTGATGGACTGATATTGACACATTCTAATCACCTATGTCCGTAGCTTACATTAGGGTTCACTGGTGCTGTACATTCTATGGGTCTGGACAGATTTATAATGACAGATGCCCGCCATTGTAGTTTCATTCAGAGTAGTTTCACTGACCTAAATCCTCGGTACTTCCTAACTCCTTTGCCATGCATTTTTTTATTGTCCCCATAGTTATACCTCTTTCCACAGTGTCACATACTTGGAATTACATGGTGTGTAGCCTTTTCAGACTGGCTGCTTTCATTTAGTGATATGCATTTAAATATCCTCCATGTGTTTTCACGGCTTGATATCTCACTTCTTTTGTATGTGGTGAATAATGTTCTGTTTTCTGGCGATAAAGAGTTTATCAATTCACCTGCCGCAGAACATCCTAGCAGCTTCCAAATTTTGTCAATTATTAGTAAAGGTGCTATAAACATCCATGTGTCAGTTTTGGTGTAATTGGTCTACCTTTAGGTTAGTTATTTTAATTGGTAGAGTTCTACAATAAGTTTAGGTAACCATTTACTTTTCATAATGACTAGTGTAGAAAAGAAAAGCAATGAAGTCGAAGTGAGTCATAAATATGTGTTTTATTTTTAAAAATTATAACATTTAATTCATTGTTATAAAACATTTAATTTGGAAATATCAGGAGTACAGTATTAAGTGCCCTTATAAATTCTGTTTTACCCTTCTCGGAGTTAACCACTGTAAAAACTTTACTTTTTACTCTTCTGTAACTTTTTCTGTTTATGTGGTAGACAGTACTCAAACTCACACTGTTTTAAAAACATACTTGGTTTATGCTACACATATATATTTTTTCACTTCACAAGATAACAGAATATGTTTTCTGTCATACCTTTAGTTATTCCTCATTTAAAATAATTGAATGATAATCTTTATTGCAGGTTTCCCAAAGTTAATTTAAGCATTTAGTTTTCATGAGGAGATAAGTTGCTTAGCATTTTCTCTTCCCCTTCTTACTCCTTTCCTTTTTCAGATAACGCTGCTGGTATTGAACATCCTTTATAAATTGTTTGTATGCATGCATTCAAATATATTTTAATATCTTGTAGCATAGATTCTTCAAAATGGGATTATTTTGTAAGAAATGCATTTTTAGATTCTGATATGTACAGAGTGGCGCTTTGTTGGGATTCTTTATATTTCCTGTATGTGAAACCTTCTTAGAAGACGCTTCAATAATGACAAATTTGTAAACATACAAATTCACTCATTACCATGTTTGCCAACATGACAGTTGAAAAGAATGTCTGATTATTGTCCTAATTTTTATTTCTTTGTTAGCAAGGTTGAGCATCTCTTAATAAGTTTATTGGCCAAATTATACTTTCCTTTGAATTATCTGTTCATATATTTTATTTTTTTATAGTTATTTATCCATTTGCCACCTTGATATCCTCATTTCTGTATCTAATGGAAATCTCAACTTGACAGGATTTAAGTTTATTTTTTTTCTCAGTTTTCCTCCTACCGTTTCATTCTTCCTATTGCTTACACTTAAAACCTTGAAGTCATCTTGGCTTGTTTTTTTCTTTTATTATGCATCTTGTCCATCAGTAAATCCTCTGATAATAAATATCATGGTATTTATTATAATACTAGAGGCCCAGTGCATGAAATTCGTGCACGGGTAAGGTCCCTAGGGCTGGTCGGTGATCAGGGCCGATCTGTGGGGCGATCAGCAGGATGATCAGGGGTCCTCCGCTGGCACTGCCCGCTTGTCAGCCTCACTCTACGGTCCCGCTCCCCACCACTGCCGCCTCCCTCTGCAGGGCAACTGGCAGGACAATCAGGGGGCCCCTGCTGGCACCCGCTTTGGCTGGCCTGGAGTCTGGGAGCTGGGGGCAGCTCCTGCATTGAGCATCTGCCCTTTTGTGGTCAGTGTGTGTCATAGTTGACTGGTCGTTCCACCAGTCATTCCACCGTTTGGTCCATTTGCATATTAGGCTTTTATTACATAAGATTAGCTATATTGCTGAAATGGATACAGAATTTCACCACTTCTTACTAGTTCTATTGCTGCTATCATCTCTCTCCCAAGTTGTTTTCCTGTTTTAATGTTTGATCCATATAGTCTGTTTTCTACATAGCAGCCAGAGAAATTCTTTCAAAATATAATTGTATGTAGAATCCACTATCATATCCCAGCTCCCTCAGTGTAAAACCCAACCTCCTTCCCAGGGCCTTTGTAAGGGGTCTTTATGATTGGTTCCTATTGATAGCTCCAGCCTTGTCTCCTACGCCTCTCATCGTCTCTGCTTTAGCCACCCTTGCATCTTCTTTCCTGTTTCTTGATCATCCTAAGCTCACACCTAATTTAGCAGTTCTGCATTGTTGTTCTGTCTGCCTACAATACTCTGCTCACGGATGTCTCCCAAAGTCTTTTTTTAAACAAACATTTTTAAAATTTCTAATATGCATAATGTGGTAGATATAGACTGTGGAATTATAAGTATGAGAAAAAAAGGTCTGTGCTCCTTGCTTTAAAGTATTATAAATTTAAGTATAAATGCAAATAGATGCCAGGTTGGGAGAAGAGGGATGTCTACATAGCAACTGTCATTCTCCTAGTGGTGATATGGTATCCCTTACCTTGGAGAACATTCTAGCATCATCAAACTTAATTTAGTAAAAGTCTTGTAAAGCATGATCTGATTGGTTTATTTTATGCTACTTAAAATTATACATATAAACTATACGTTTATTTTATGCTACTTACAATTAAACATATAAATTATGTTTGCATTTATATAAAATGACTAAGTATATATGAATCTTCCAGGTATGTTAGAAATTATTAAATTATTAAGTAATTTCTGAAATTTTATATTATAAAAACCGTTGAAAACCTCTAATATATTTTACATGAACAAAGTTTTTAATAACAGAGGATGGAATATCACATTTCATTTTCTTAATATATAAATATGCCTTTTATGCAATCACATACTTCTTTTGGTTACCATCAAAGTCAATTTTTAGAATTGAGATGTTCTATAGGTAAGCTTTTGTTATCAGGAATATTCACATATGGGAAGACCCATTTCCCATCAATTTTGTGTGAATCCGGTACCATGTAGTTGAATTTTTTTCAAGTAAAGTTTTTATTGAGAAATGGACAGACTTTTTGGTTACAACTTAATTTTTACAAAGTTAGTACATCCAAGTATTCAATAAATAAAACCCCTGTTGCTCCACAAACCCACCTTCTAGTCTTCAATCCCCAACAAGAGTAACCAACACCCTCCTGACTTTTAACAGTTTCATTTTGCTTACTCTTGAATAGTTGCAAGTATAAGTAATTCTATAAGATAAAACGATCTGTGCTATATTATAATCCCAGGTAGTTTTAATTTTAAGCAAGGAAAGAAAGAAACTTGAAAACATTTTCTGTATATTTTTTAATTACCAGGTACATTTCTGTAAAATAACTAGCTGTTCTTATCCTTAGAATCCAGACCATTGTCAGTTCCTGTGAAGGCCATGGTGAGTATAACTGAAGGTGGTAGAAGTCCTGAAGAAAGAATGAAAGAATTTATTGGAGCAGTATGGAATGCTGTAAAGAGGCTCACACTGCAGGTAAAATAAAATTTAGAAATATTGTGCTAACTAACATGGCCTTTTTAATTTTCAGCACCTTTTTATGGGTAAATTTTTTTCATTGGTAACACTTATGGAAACCATTTTATTTCCTTAATTTAAGATTAAGACTATCGATGCACTTTGCATGTTATTAACCCCTTCCCCGGCAGAAACGTGTATACTCGTTTTCACAAAATGTTCTTTTTCAGTCGTCGACGAGTATACTAAGAAAATATGGTAAAAAAATATGGTTTATAGGAAGACGAGTTACAAACTGTTTTCATAACCAGCATCAAAAATACTATATAGAACCAAAATAAAAAAATTAGTCTGAAAAAGAAACGTTTTTAACAAAAAAATTGTTGGGGAAGGGGTTAACAAAATGGTATGAAACACATATTACATGAACTTTCTGATAAACTTCTAAAAATACAAATTTTGAGATGTTTCTTGAATTAAAAAAATTCATTTTACTTCTTTATTTCTTTTAAGCTATAAAAATAGAAAAATTTTAAGATGTACCTTGAATTAAAAAATTCACACTACATTTTTATTTCTCTTAAGCATTATTTGAAAGAATTTAAATGCCTAATGTACAGATCACATTCTCATCTCAGTACTGAGATAAAAACTTAGTTGGAATTAAATTAAAATAAAAGGGTTATCTAAATATTTTTCCTATCTAATCACAAATTAAATATGAAGATGATAAATATAGCTATTACTTATTTGATTAGATATGTCATGTTTTATGTGATGAAAATGCACAATTAAATGCTTATTGATTCTCACAGGAATTAAGTAAAAGTAACTCAACAGTTACACATGTTTAAGGGTTTGTATAGAAATTTTTCTCTTTGAATAAAATATGAAAGATTGATATCAAAGTCATCTTTTTTTTTAGAGCCTTTATGCTGTATGTGATTGTAGAAGCAGAAGATACACAGTACTCTTAAGATGTTGCTGAACATTCATATTCATTGTTAGTCTCTTTATAATAAAACACTATCTCCTTATATATAATCTTTTTCATTATTTATCACTTAGTACTTGTATAAACACTTATCTATGCCCTGTTCATGTTAGAGCTTAACTAGACCATTTGTGTCTTCGTTCCTGATTACTATATATATTAATTCACTTAAATACATGTAGTTTTTATTATGATAAAACCTTTAATCTCAGAGGGACTCATTATTGATGGGAATGAGAATAGCATATGGGCAATTTTATTTCGGTTATATTCCCTCCATTTGGTCAAACTCAATCTGTATTCTCAGCTTACGCTAGTCTGTGTTCACAAGAAAATCACTTGAGAAGTCCTCTTTCTTGTGTTTCTAGATAATGCCTTTATATACTCTTCTAATTTCACCGATTTAATATATTCTGTTTCTGTTTAAATCACCAATAAAGTAAGTGTTTCTTACTGATGACTACTACATATCATCTTGTAACATACTACTTTAGTGGTCTTTTAGAAAGAGTAACCTGGGGTGTATTTAGCAGTCAGTAAAGGTAAATACCATAATGACCAGTAAGTAGTTGAGAAGATGAATAACTACGAAAAGCCCATATCTCTACTATAATAATTATGAAAATAATAGTGAATTTATCTGATTACAGAAGTTCTGAATTATGGTTTGACACAATACTGTTTTATAGAAAAAGGAATAATCTAAATATGAGATCTCACTCAAGAGCTTTTCCTTGTTCATCATGCTTTTCTTTAGCACTTTAAGCCAGTTGTTTTCAGGAGTTAGTGGTGTTCGGGTTTCACTGAATTCTGACTAAGAACTGTGGAAGGAAATCTATATTTTTATTTTCTGAGACTTATTCAGCGTAAAATATACCTTCATGGATAATATCTCCCTTGAATTTTGATGTCTAGCCTGCTAGATAAAATTTGCCTTCTTTTTACTTTTTTTAATCTATAGTTTTCTCTTCTAAGTAACACAACTCTTTTCTTTTTTTGCTTAATTTTCCTTCTTTATTCTAGTGAAAGTGTTTCGATACCAAATAAGCTTGTATAACATTCATTCATTTTACAAATATATTCTATTATAGTGGGTCTATAGCAGGTCTCTTGGAGCTTATGTGTCTTTTTACAATAAATTGCCTGTAGTCTCCTCAGAGATAGCCCTGGAGTTCATGATGAAGTTGGAATATAATTTCAGGAATTTCTCTAAGGTCCTACTGCTCTTTAATATATCCTCCTGGCTTTCTGAAAATCCATATATCCTTTCCTTTTTTTTTTTTAAGTTTTTCTTTTTACTCAATTTATTGGGGTAACATTGGTTAATAAAGTTATATACGTTTCAAATATATAGTTCTATGATACATGATCTGTATATTGCTTGTGTGTTTACCACCAATTTTTACATACTAGGGCCCCAGTGCATGAATTCGTGCACCTTGAAAGGAACTGTGGGCCCTGAGGCTGCGGTGGGCACAGGGGCAAGTCTTGTCCCATCCTCTGCAATCCCGCCCAATCCCTTCTTTTGTCACCATTTATTTGACCTCCTTTACCCTGTGTGTGTGTGTGTGTGTGTGTGTGTGTATCTTTTCTGATAAATGATATATCTTTTAAAAATTCCATTAAAATATAAGTACCTAATAATCATAAGCATACTAACCTTTTAATGCCCTAGTATAAACTTGTTTACTTTTTTAAAATATATTTTTATTGATTTCAAAGAGGAAGGGAGAGGGAGAGAGAGAGAAACATCAGTGATGACAGAATCATTGATTGGCTGCCTCCTGCACGCCCCCTCCTGGATATTGAGCCCACAACCCAGGCATGTGCCCTTGACTAGAATCGAACCTAGGACCCTTCAGTCCCCAGGCCAATGCTCTATCCACTGAGCCAAACCGACTAGAGCTAAATTTGTTTACTTTTAAAAATGGTTAGTTTGGTAGCAATAGATTATGGAATTCATTTATTATTCTTTCATTTATTCTCACATTCAGCATTTAATTTTTATTATGTATCAAGCTAAATGCTGAGTAGATGAAAGAAACATACTAGTTCTCTTGGTTTAGCAAGAAAAAAGCAAAGAGCCATTGTATGGGAAGCACCTTTTGGAAGCCTCTCTTAGAGAGATTCCTTAGAAACTCTTAGGGGCCCAAGGAGAAATGGGAATGCGATGAATTTATATCCTGTCCCATTGAGTAAGTGTTTACTGATTTGTAGAAGAACTAGATGACACTATTACATTATCTAGAATATAATAAATATCAAGAATATTTAGCTGTTTGAAGTTTACTTTGGTCCTAAAATTTACTTCATGATATAAGTGGTTTTATTAAAAGTAACCTTATTCCATTTGTCCATTATACACAGCCAAAAATGACTAATTTAGTGTGACAACCCTTAATGATATCATTTTGTGTAGTTGTGTAATAAAAGATTTTAAAAAAGATAGTATTATGTTACGTGATTATTTGACAGCTCTAGGAAAATCTTAAAATTTATGATTCCAGGTGATGTAAGAAATCTTTATGGTGCTTGTAAGCTCACCGTAGGTGCATGAACCTTCCACAATGTACGAGATACTGGAGAACATCCTCCTCTGCCCAGGTGAAGTAGCAGGGACAAGATTTATCTTGCTACTTGAAACAACCAAATATGGACAAAGGATGTTACATAATGATTTCAAAACACTGGACAGTAGGCCCAGTTGCACAGTGATCCCCAGGAGGCCTAAGTGACTAATGGGTTTGGAGGATGAGAGAAAGGAAGCTAAGTGGTATTCTACATTCTGGTTTGGCTAGTGATGCCATTAATGATAGAAAAAGCTTTTTAGGCAGTGTTTAGGTCAGAGAGGGAGATTGAATTTACACTTGCATTTGAAGTGCCTGTAAAATATCCAGCCACCTCTTAGACAGTAGGATATTCCTATCTACAGACTAAAAAAGAGATTCACGGTAGAGATACAATTTTTACATACTAGGGCCCCAGTGCATGAATTCGTGTACCTTGAAAGGAATTGTGGGCCCTGAGGCTCCAGTGGGCACAGGGGTGGGTCTTGTCCCATCCTCTGCAACCCCGCCCAACCCCTCCTACCGGGGCCCTGGTCCTCTGACTGCCGGTCCCCTGTCTGCTGGCAGCCCCACCCCTGCTGTTGCCACTCCCACACGCTGATGGTGCTGTTCCAATCACAACCGCTGATGGCGCAGAGCAATTGGGACTGGTGCCAGCAGCGGGTGCGAGTGGGCGGTGCTGCCCCATCACCCTTCAGGAGCAGGAGAAGGTGGAAAAGCCCTCAGGAGCGATCGGGGCCCTGGGAATTTTCAGTAACCACCAGAAGCTCGCCCGATGACAGCAACCAGCGCCCCACCTTGGTCTGGTGCCCCCACTCACCTGCTCCACCACCCTGCTGCGGCCAATGCCCACCATGTTATGCGTGGGCCTCCTGGTGGTCAGCGCACGTCATAGTGACCGGTTTTTCAGTTGTTCTGTTGTTCTGCCTTCGGTCTGTTTGCATATTAACCTTTTATTATATAGGATGGTTAAAACCACGTAGATGGGTCATTCAAAAAAGTATGTAAAATTTAGAGTGCAATGGGCCCAGGGAATACCAATTTTAAAGTAGTCAGTAGAAAAGACCATGTCCTTGAAGTAAGGGAGTGATCAGAATGTAAGGGAGTGATCAGAATGTAGGAGGAAAGGTGGGAGAGTTAATAAAGCCAAAAGTATGTAGAATTTCTATCAGACAGTGGTCAGCAGTATCAAATTCTGGATGTTAATTATGAGCTTTACTTTGCTAATCTATAATATGAAATGGTTAGATTAAATAATTTTTGATTATTTCCAATTCTAACATTTTTGTGGGATTCTTTGTTTTTTTTTGTTTATTTTATAAAGATGTAGTAACCTTATTAGTTTATCACCAACAGTGAAGTTAATAGTATATGACATTATGGATAAGTTGTAAGTAGAGATACTGATGTTCCTCATTTTTTCTTCTTTTTAAAAATTTTAATACTGGTAAAATACA